GCCTGACCAACATGATGAAACCCTGTCTCTACTAAAAATACAAAAAGATTAGCCGGGCATGGTGGTGTGTGTCCAGCTACTCAGAAGGGCTGAGGCAGGAGAATCGCTTGAACCCTGGAGGCAGAGTTTGCAGTGAGCCAAGATCATGCCACTGCATTCCAGCGTGGGCAACAGATCAGGACTCCTTCTCAAAAAACAAGAACCCACACCAAAACCCAACATTTTAATTGGTACTAAAAGAGCTTTAAAAGTAACATTTTGGGGCTGGGCACAGTGGCTAACGCCTGTAATCCCAGCACTTTGGGAGGCCGAGGCAGGTGGATCACTTGAGGCCAGGAGTTTAAGACCAGCCTGGCCGACATGGTGAAACCCCATCTCTATAAACATTTTTTTTTTTAAAATAACATTTTGGATGCTAAAACTGATCTCATTCAACCCCAAGTATCTGTACCTAATTGTATTCCCTAGAGAGATGAATTATTACTTTAATATATTCCTGCAACTACAAAGTCCCATCTAGGGGTGATAGGCAACAGTGACAGATCATTAGGCATTAGATTTTCATAAGGAACATGCAGCCTAGATCCCTGGCATGCGTAGTTCAATAGGGTTCGTGCCCCTATGAGAATCTAATGCAGCCGCTGATCTGGCAGGAGGCATTGCTCAGGCAGTAATGTGAGCGATGGAGAGTGGCTGTAAATACAGGTGAGGCTCCAGGCTCACCTCCTGGTGTGGTCTGATTCCTAACAGCCATGGCCTAGGACCATGGCCTGGGAGTTGGAGATCCCTGGCCTAGAGAGCTCATACACAGTCCTGCCTGAGCTGCTGCAGAATGCAAGAAAAGTACATTCATCAGAGACTTTAAGGCCACATTGAGAAACTGACAAAAAAAAACTAACACACAAAAAATAATACCTGCAGGAAAAACAAAATAGCTCTAAGCAAAACTCAAAGCCTTACAAACCACAGAGATCACAGATGCCCATGCCTCTCAAAGCTGTTTGTGCATACTGGGAGCTCAATACAAATTTGTTGAAAGAATAAATACATTAATTCTTTTTTTTTTTTTTTTTAAAGAGATGCTGTCTTGCCCTGTAGCCAGGCTGCAGTACGGTGGTGTGATCACGGCTCCCTGCAGACTCAAACTCCTGGGCTCAAGTGATCCTCTCATCTCAGCCGCCCAAAGGATTGGGAATACAGTGAGCCACTTCACTTGGCCTCAATTGTTAACTAGAATTAATGCAACCAAAATTTCTGAGTTTGAATAAAGTCCGTATAACGCTGATTGACATTATGTGGTAGGCCACTTCCAATTTTAGGTTTAATATCAACCGTACAGTAAATATTGTATTATTAGACTTTTGTGTTATCAGTGGCAGCAATATTTGGCAATACATTTCACGGTCTGCCTCCAATAAATTTCAGCTGCAGACAAGGCAAAACATACCTTTTAACTTGGTACTGCAAGATACCAACTTTCCCATCCGGAGTTATCACAGCCAGTAAAGCTCTCAAGCTTTTGAGGAGCGGAGTTCAAAGGCAAGACTAATGATCTAATGGGACTTAATAATTCTTTCAAGTATTCTTTACAATTAAAATGAAGGATTCTTTTCTTAATTCATAAGTGATTTCTACGATCTTCACTTTACCTAAGATGAAACTGTTCAACAACCAATTACATAAACTTTTTCTAAGCACAGCCTCAGATTTTCAAAAGAAAAGAAGGATTCTTTTCTTAATTCATAAGTGATTTCTACGATCTTCACTTTACCTAAGATGAAACTGTTCAACAACCAATTACATAAACTTTTTCTAAGCACAGCCTCAGATTTTCAAAAGACCGTATATAAATATCTCTGGAAGGAAAGTGAGCTCTGATAATAGGTCTGATTTGGGTTAGGAAGTCGCTGAAAAGTAGGGGCCCATTTTGCAAATACTACTGTTTGGCAGAATTCTGTTATCACGATACGGCTACAAAGATCGCATTTACACTTAGGAACAGCTGAAGAGAAACTGCTGTTTGATAGAAGAATATAAGAATTTCTAAGGTTTTTCCTCCTTTCCACTTGAAGTAAAATGGTAACAGCTTGGTAATTCTTTTCAAGGTTACCCACAAAGAGGTTGTAAAATAATCAAGCGCCATCCTGATAGCTAATTAGAGAATATGTAGCAACAAAAAGAGAGAACGCTGACAGAACGTAGATTTGACTGGAGATAACAGAAAGGCAGGTCCCTGATTCGCATGGTGCCAACAGGAAGGAGTTGCCAAGGAGTGCAGTGAAAGAACACAAGGTGCCCCAACAAGACGGCTCCAATTTCAGTTATCTCTGCTCATCAACTGAGTATGGGCATAAAGCATAACTCCGCTACCAGCTCTTTAGTCCACAAATCCCTATGTAAATAATGGGTCACTTTTTCCAAAGCCTGTCAGTGACTGGTCACCGCGTCACACGGGGTGATGTGCAATGAACCTCCTCTTCAGTTCACACAGACAGGAAGCATGTAACTGCTGCATTGCTTCTTTAGATAACAAAGATAAACTCCTGTGACATTTACAAAAAAGGACAATTTAGAACCAGTCAACAAGATGAAACTGCAACAACAAAAATGTGAATCACATTTAAAGGGAGTTACAGAAGAATGAGCCAGCCGTGGGAATGCGGCTGCTGTTGCTGGCTGCCACGCTAGGTCTGTAGCGAGAGGACCACGTGATGGTGAAATGCTGAAAATAAATGAGGAAAGCAGTTGTGACAAAAAGAAGAGAAGTATCCCAGTGGAAGTGATGCTGGCAAAAAACCTCATATTAAAGGAACTCTCAGAGACTGTTCATAATGTCAAAAGAGCAAAGGATAAAACGTCAGAAGCTTGTCCAAACTCAGAAAATGAGTACGACAGTTTGCTGAGGCAAAGAAAAATGCTGGCTCCTTATCCAAAGTTTAGGAGTAGAAAAAAGTAAGCACTGTTCCAAGTCATACTGACGAGTATTATTTTAACAGAGAAAGAACATCTTCAATTATGCTTTTCTTCCTAATGTTTGAAATTACAATATACTAAGAAGATCCTAGTTTTCCAATTTTTAATAAACAGTAAGAGAGTTTTTACTGTTTCGTCAAAAATGTTGAAAGGCATGAAACAATGCTAATTTTCCCGACTATGAAGACTGCTCTGCATATGTCAATTTGTGAGGCCATTTCTAGCATCCTGCACTGACTACGGTGCATTCTAAATCTTCTCTGGCTGCTCTCAACCTTAACAAAGGTCTACCAAAGAAATGGGGCAAGGGAAGAGCCCATTTTGATACTCACAGGGCCTTACAAAAGGGCTCTGGTATACTACGCAGCACCAAGTAGCAAAATTAAATTGTAACTGAAGTGTTCCCGCCTCTATCAGATGATAGGGACTCTGGCATAAAACACAGATAGGAAGGCAAACATCTGCAGCCTAAATTAGCTCCACTCTCCACCTATTGAAGCCTTAGGGAGTGTACATCCAAAGATCACTTCCATTTAGCTTTTACTGTGAAATGACATTATGAAGCTGTAAAGTTACCTCCCTAATCATGCTTAGGCTTGGCTAACAAGATCAGTGTGAAATGCTCTGAGGAGAGAGCAGGAAGCACTTGTATTTTAAACACTTGACATACACACACATTTATACACACTGGTATAACTTCGGAAGGTGCAGAGCCATAGCACATAGACATAAATTCAAATAGTAGTAAGTTTAAAGAATTATTACAACATTGGCATACTATTCATGTCATGAAAACGGAAACAGAAAAGCCCTCTACTTAAAAGAGGCTTCTATAAATTAAAATTTAAATAATATATTAAAAGAATGTAATAGACCAGAATGAGGGGATGCAGGGAGAGGCTAAGGAAGCAGAAGACAGCAAGAGGGAGTCTTGAGTATGAATCCATTTGGAAATGGCAGCTCGAAGAATGCCCAGCTCCTCTTGCACGTTACAGATGAAAAACGGTGACCCAGTGAAGATGAGCAACCACCCAAGATTACATAACCAGTATACAAAGAACTAGGAACAAGACCCTTTAGTTGCAGTCCCTGAGCATTAAGGCACAGAACAGAAATAAAGACAAAAGGAGTTCACTCATCTTAGATGCATGTACCTGGGTAAAAACCAGAGGACAGAGAATAAGCTAGCAAAAAACCTCCCGAAGACACCACACAGCTGGCCCAAAGCTACAAGGTCAGCTCCTTACTCAGAGTTAGGTTCTGCACGCTGTCTCAGGGATCAGTTCTTTCCAACTCACTCGAGCACATAACCAAGCCTGGCTATCTGCCTGCCTCATCTAAGCAGAGAAGAAAACAGGACTGGGAAGGACCCAGGTACTCTTCATATATCTGCAAAAAACTAGAAAAATCTTACCTCTGGACAATATCAACTAAAAAAAGTGTTTTCATTTATTTCCTGACTCATCTTTGTCTACTAGCATGTGAACAGAGGAAAGCAGGAGGAAGTTACACTCCGGCCTGCATACTCCTAAGAACGCCAAGTCTAAGTAAAAATCGGTTACTTCTAAAGTTATAAACAAAGAAGAACCATAATCTAAATGTCTAACAATAGGAGGATTAAGTCAATTATACTCACTCCATAAAACAGAATACGCAGCCATTAAAAATATTTACAAAGAATTTTTAACAAAATGGGAAACCACCTGTGTTATTTTAAAGGATCAGAATAAACATTTTACACATACAAGACTCTTGCTATTATATTTCTAATTTTAAGACAAATAAGACTGGAAGAAAACGCACTAAAATATTAATGATGCCATTCTCTGGTATAAGAATTCTAAGGGTAGCTTTCTTCTTGATATTCTTTTCTATTTTCCAGACTTCCCATCTTGAGCTTATACTAATCTTATCATCAGGAAAGAAAAAGCCCTACATGTATTTCTAAAGTAAAAAGAAATGATAAAAAAGATGTAAGCTGCTATCAAGAAAACGCGGGAACAATTTGTCAACACTTTTCATCTTACCTTAGCTTTCTTCTTCCACGAAGACTTTTGTTTCTCCTCTTCTTCCTCAATTAATTTAAGTGCCAGCTCTTTGTTAACTTTTGGCAATTTCTAATTAAGAGAAAATAAAAGCTGATATTTTATTTTAAAAGCTAATGTATTTACATTTTAGCTTAAAGGTTAATAGTTCTGTAAGGAGTACAATATCATAAATAGGAGATAAATAATTCTTATTTTTAAAATTTCATTATCCCCCTAGTAGGAAATGTAGAAATAGGTGGTGTTACTGCGTGGGCCGCATGGCACAAAAGCAGCAACCCCAGCTTACTGCTGGGAAACTCGCCCTCATGTCTTTTCCCAGGGCACTGAGAGGCAGCACACTGGCTCATGCCTGTAATCCCAGCACTTTGGGAGGCCAAGTTGGGAGGCTCACATGAGCCCTGAAGTTCAAGACCAGCCTAGGCAACATAGCAAAATCCTGTCTCTACTAAAACTACAAAAAATTAGCTAGGGATGGTAGTGCGTGCCTGTAGTCCTAGCTACTTGGGAGGCTGACGTAGGAGGATCACTTGAGCTCAGGAGGTTGAGGCTGCAGTGGGCTCTGGTTGGTAAGCCAAAGGTCAGTAAGAAAGGGGATTAGCAAAGCCCCCATATTCCAAAAATGGAAAACCCATTTAAAAATGCTATCAGATTTTTAGTGGAGGTGACAATATCAATCATCCTAGCATTATTTCCCACCGTACAATTACTACAGAGATCATAATGCTAAAATTGTAAAGAGTTTTGCACCCTCATGACAAACATGACACACAGATGACAAACTATACCAAAAATATTAGTAAAAGATGCAAATTAAAGATGGAAAACCAAGAAAAGACAGGCAGATCTCTTTGAAATAATACACAAAATGAAAAGTAAGTACTCTTCTCTGATAAACTCAATAGTAACTCTAATATTTACCTTCAACTGGACTCTCTGTGCACGTGTTTCTTCTATTTTCTGTCGTATTTTATCTTTCCTATATTCTTCATAAGCAAATGGATTTACCATCAGTTTCACCTTTTCAAAATGAAAAAAGTTTTGGAAAATAAAAGAATGGCATTTAGTAATATCGTTTTCATATACACCGCGACGGTTATGCCAAAGAACAGGCAGGTCCCTACAAATCCTATTTATGTTTTATGAAGGGTAAGTAGTGAGGAAATGACTATAGACTGCTCTTAGTTTCCTGAAACACAGTAGCTGTAGTTTTGCATTTACCTTGTGATAGAGTCTTATATCCATGAAAAACCCATGCATATATGCCCGGAGGAAAGGCGAGCCAACGAGGTGTGTGAGCCCTGGGAAAGGTTAAACAGAGGAGAGCATGTCCTTAAGCAATACTCATTAACATTAACTGCTTTTCTTGTACAACGGTTTGATTACAGTAAGATTTCACTTCAAAGTAACACTTTAAGGATTAGAATTACTAATCTCTGATATCTACAGAGAACATTTAATCTACTTCAGCAATAACGTCCTTATTTATTTTAAATGAAATAATACTGCACACAGAAATGATGAGAAAGTCCTTATGCACTATGACAGAGAGGGTTCCCTTATACCCCGAGTGGTCCTCAGATTTTTTATTTCCACAAACTAGTTCAATTTAGAAAATAATACTGGGGATCAAGAGTAAGTTGCCAAATTGAAATGCGAAGGGCGAGAAGAGAAACATTGTTATCTCCCACCATCTGCAAAAACAAAGGACACTCACAAAAACAATAAAGAACCGTCTTCCAAGAAAACAGCTGACAAATTCCTAGCACCACATAGAAACATACATACGTGCAAATCAATACTCACATCACACATGCACTCTTCATCAAAGACCAATGAAAAGTCCGCTGCCGGTCAGGATTTGAGAACCCTGCCTCAAACAATACCTTTCAGAGTTTCCCAGTTTTAATAGGTTACACTTAGAATTTATGGTGCTGATGGTCACATAAGAATGCTCTGCCTACGTTATAGAAATTATTTATTACTTGCAAATACTGACACAGAGAAAGGTTGAGACTATCTTCAAAATAAGGCCACATGTGATGTACTAACACGTGGAACACTTGTGGTATATGTCAGTGGTCCCCAACCCTTTTGGCTCCAGGGACTGGTTTTGTGGAAGACAATTTTTCCATGGATTGGGGAAGGGATAGTTTCAGGACGAAACTGTTCCACCTCAGATCATCAAGCATTAGATTCTCATTAAGGGGCATGCGACCTAGATCCCTTGCACGTGCAGTACACAAGAGGGTTCCCACTCCTATGAGAATCTATTGCCACTGCTGGAAGGAGGTGGAGCTCAGGCAGCCATGCTCACTTGACACTCACCTCCTATGTGGCCGGGTTAGTAGCAGGCCATAGACTGGTACGGGTCCATGGCCCAGGGGTTGGAGACCCCTGGTATAAGTGACTGTCTTTCTAAGGAAAACATTACTCTAATTTCCAAATTTTAGTAATACACATCCATCTAGACCTGAAAATCAAGTGCTCGGCAAAATCATATAGTAGTATAAAATAGTATACCTTATAGAACAATATAAAAAGCAAAACTAAATTTGGGATACTCTCATAAAAGAATTCTAAAACTTGGTTAGGAAAATACTGTCAAAGAATTCATTAGGTTAATAAAAATATGGGGTTTGAACTTTCACAGTGGAGTCTTAAAAAAGTCCTTCCTCCACGTGTATATTCTCTAATCCTTCCTCAGGATGAGGGTCTGATTAACCACTACATTGTAAAACACACATACCAGTGATTGCAAAAGTAATTGTTTGTTCCCTTTATTAATGTCACAGAATTACTCCAAGTCAGGTCATAAATAAAAACCGAGTGGAGTGCTTTTCACAGTGAAACAATCCTAACCCGAGAATTGGATGCAGCAGCATTTCCTACAGGTAACTCCATGGATCCCTAGTCCCAAGAGATCTGAGAAAAAAGGGCTCCGTGGTCAGGTAGGTTTGGGAAAAGATTCATACTTTCCTCCCCTGTTCGGAGATTTACAATGTAAGAAGTGTGTGAGGTAAAGATATGGATTTAACTGTGCTTAACCTAGCAGTTCCCACATTTATTTGCCACAAATCTCCTAAAATAACTGTGCTGAATATTTTCCAAGCATTTCCTGATTCACTCTCCAAGCAACCCTATGGGTAGGGACCAATATAATTCTAATTTTACAGATGAGGAAACCAAGGCTTAAAGAGGCTAAGTGAATTGGCCAAGTTGTGCAGATATTAAGTGAGAGAGGTGGGATGTAAACCCATGTCAGTCTACATGAAGTGCCCATGATACCAGCCACTTGCTATCCACCCAGTCCTTTTTACAGAAGTAATACTCTAAAGAACGCACTGTGGGAAATACCAAGCTATAAGATCTGCTATTGGGTATATCCGGGAAGAGTCAGAACTTGCAAATATTCAATATGCTAATGCTGCACTAAGAATAATCTTAGAAAGTAAGGGAAGTTCATTACTTCCACTCTTAAGATATTCTATTTAGAAGATTTTATATATTATGGAGAAATGATAAAGGCTCATTTGATATCAAAAGATATTAGTAATACACATAAAATGCTTTCTAGTATGACTGTCGTTATGTTGAATATTATATCTATTTCTATAGTTTTAAAAATGAGCAGGGTAATTCCATTTTAACAACATATACCTAAACTTAAATAACTGCTTTCTTCACTCAAAATAAACCCAGTATAGAGATTGAAAAAGAACCCACAATGTACTAAACATAGTAGTTTACAAAAAAAAATCCAAAGAACAATTGACTTTTTTTCCTTCCATTTAAGAACGTAGGTGAGTGTGACACAGCATATTATGAAAATTATGTTGGAGATACTTAAGAAGGTACTTCAGTAAGAACCTATTTCATTTGTAAGTCATTTTTTAAAAGGCTAAATTCAACTCTTTTTTGATAGTAACTGATAGAAAGCAATTTTGCCTGAATTAACTGTGCTATGAGAGATGGGTTAAACAGGAAATTTAATTAATCTAATGGCAACAGTTCCACATCTATTTGTTCCAAAGACAACTAAGTTGCCTCGACTTGTATCGTCTAAATCTTCCCACTCTCAGTAACTTCTGATGCAGCCCTCTGCCAGCAGAACAAGATGAGCACCATTTACTCTAATTTAGAGGAGTGCTAGGAAAGCAGGCCCAATGTGTCCCGCAGGGGCTGGGATGGCTGGGGGAAGAGCATGGACTCCGGGTTTAAAGCCCAACTCTCAAGTTTACTATCACTGAAACCATGGGCCATGTACATTTATCTTTTTTCTGCCTCAGTTTCCTTATCTAATGAAATCATAATAGTATCCAATCCATATGGATGTGAAGATTAGATGAGTTACATGTAGAACATTTAGAATACTGCTGGCACATGCTGGGTGCAGTGGCTCATACCTGTAATCCCAGCACTTTGAAAGGCCAAGGTAAGTGGATCACCAGAGGCTGGGAGTTCAAGACCAGCCTGGCCAACATGGTGAAACCCCATCTCACCAGGCTGCATGGCAGCATATATCTGTAATCTTAGCTACTTGGGAAGCTGAGGCAGGAGAATCACTTGAGCCTGGGAGGTGGAGGTTGCTGTAAGACAAGATCGGGCCACTGTACTCCAGTCTGGGTGACAGAACAAGACTGTCTCAAAAAAAAAAAAAAAATGATATAGCCCTATATCATAAGTATTTGCTCTTCTTTTAAGACACTTCTTGGCTTGTGACCTTTAAACATAAACTGACTATTCAGGTTCTTCTACATGGGAAGTTTCAATGTCACTTTTTTTTTTTTAGACAGACTTTCGCTCTTTCGGCACAGGCTGGAGTGCAGTGGCGCAATCTCCGCTCACTGCAACTCCGCCTCCCAGGTTCAAGTGATTCTCCTGCCTCAGCCTCCCGAGTAGTTGGGATTACAGGCACATGCCACCACGCCTGGCTAATTTTGTATTTTTAGTAGACACAGCGTTTCATCATGTTGGCCAGGCTGGTCTCAAACTCCTGACCTCAGGTGATCTGCCTGCCTTTGGCCTCCCGAAGTGCTGGGATTACATGTGTGAGTCACTGCACCTGACGTCAACGTTGATATCACTTCTACATTTTGGATTGGGTCTTTTATAATCAATATCTAAAAGAAAGGCAGAAATCATTTACTTGCCATCTCTGAGATATTTTTAAAACCTTATGCTTCAGATAGGACTGGGGGAAAAAAATCACTGCTTTCGTGACAATCTGTTTCCTTTATATAGCTAGTGTGTTAAAAGAAATTATTTGCTAAAATAAATTCTCATTTAAAGTACAAAAAAGCTTCAGTAGGTTAAATGACCTGAACTTTTCTCTAAGGAGAAAGGTTACAAATTTGACAATTTATAATATGTTTAATATCTGATTTGGCAGAAAGGGAAGATTTGGGAGATGAGGTAAACATGGCTCAGCCAATTCTAATGTTGAAAGCTAAAAAAAAAGTAGAAATAAAAAGATTTCATAATAATTTTATAATAATTTTTTTACCTAAATTTTCAAGGTCTTTCTTGGTGACAAATTTGTAATCATCATAGACTGTGCTTTCTGGATTCTCTTCTAATTCTTCGGTCAAGTTGTCTAAGAAGGAACACCACCGAGGAGCAGGACCCAAAACCTGTTGGTGTTTATGAGCAGGTCAGCAGAGGCACAGTTCACCACGCCATCCAAGTCTCAGTTATTTATAACCAAGTTCTTTAAATATGATTTCGAAATCCATTTTTCTATCAGAAGTATTGACAAATATATACGATACGTATAATGACAAGTATACACCGGAAGAGAATAAACAAAGTAGTAAATGCTTAGGCTTTTAAGAGAAAACAATCTCAGTCTAGGGCACAAAAGTATGAATGAATATTCTTATACTAGAAGAACCATCAAAATACAGATAAATAATTCAGGTACATAACATCCAACCATCCTTCCTTCAAAATACTACCAGAATTCTATAAAAGCATTATTTGGTATGAAAGATTTTTTAAGTTTGCCAAACAAAAGTCCAAAAGAAAAAATACCTTTTTTAAAAAAAACAGTATTTATTATTATTATTATTTGTAGAGATAGGATTTTGCCATGTTACCCAGGCTGGTCTTGAATTCCTGGGCTCAAGTTACCACACTCCACCCAAAATTACTTTCTTTTAAGATTTTTCAACTAATTACTTGACAATTACATTCCATTCTGTATGGTCCACTTCATTTAATTCATTTAACTCATTAACAACTAAAATTCTAGGCTACAGTTAATGGCAATATATTGTATTCTTGAAAATTGCTAAGAGAATAGATTTTAAATGTTCTCATTACAAAAAATGTAATGCAAATGTTAATTAGCTCAATTTAGCCATTCCATCACATATACATGTTTCAAAACACCATGTTGTACACAACAAATACATATAATCTTTATTTGCCATTAAAAAAATAGTGACTTTTTAAAGATTTCTGTATAAAGAATTCTTCAAAACTAAATGGGTGACCAGGCTCCACAAGTTATCACCTGAAAGGCTGAGAAACAAACGGCTGAAGAGAATTATAACCAACTAATAAGATATGAATCATTAAGGTTATAATCCAACGTTGAAAAAAATATAATCCAACTACTTTCATGAAATAATATGATCGCTCTGTACATTTTTGCTATTGATATAAATCTTTCCCAACAAAATGCCACACCAGCTGAGGTCAATGTATGCCAAAGGAAACCTGCTCAGTCAACAGAGAAAATATGTTAATGAAATCCTCCCTTAAGCTGGAGGTATTCTGACAAGAGAACACTGGGCTCGGACAAAATGGAACTTCCAGTGGTGACTTAACCTGTTTTTTTCAGTAGCAATCAGGCATACCGGAAAAAAACCCAGAAATCATAATGAAAATTATTAAATCTAGCTTCAACCATTTGTAGAAGGAAGAGAATTACAACAAAGAAAAACAGCCCCTGTTAACAACGTCTTCAAATGAAAAGTAGATGTTAGATATGGCTATATTAATTTAGTTATATTATTTTGCCTGATTAGAAAGGGCGACTCTCTTCACCCCAATACAGCATGAGAGAGTCTTACAGAGAAATTTCATATTAGCACAATCTACAATTTTAAAAAATAGAAGCAAAGGTTTTTATATGCTAAGTGGTTTGACTCCAGCCATTAAAGACAGACTCAAGAAATGCAAGGCGTTGTTTAAAAATTCATATCCAACACTTTTTAAAAGAACTCCTATGGTTTTAAGCAATTTTAGGACAGTAGCTTGAAGCCAACAACTAAATGCTACCACATACAAAGCACTGTGCTAAGCTGAAGACTGACCACGATCTCCCTGAAGAAGTTTAAAATCCAGCTGGAGCGCATATGTGTTCTTGCATGTGCACACGCATGCGCACACACGCACCATGTGCAACGAGCTCAGAATGCACTGAGTCCAGGGGGAGGATGCTGGAAACAACAGAGATGCTGCAGACACCGAATAAGTCTATTTGAAAGGACTTCATGTTGGAATGCGCACATGAGCAAGCTAGGAAATCACAGGGCATCTTCTGATGTTGAGAGAGTTGAGGACCTTGTAACTACAGGGGTAGGTATCTGCTTCCAGTGAGTCATAAATCGGAAAATGCAAAGCTCTATCAGATAATGGTGTACTCCCTAAGACAGTAAGTTTTCTTCTTTCAGACGAGATCAAAGTATGCTATTATCTCTTCTTTAGAATATCCAAGATACTGTCCTCTGAGGAGATGAAGATGAGAGACATCTGTTTTGTAAACTGCTGAATTTTTAGTACCTAGAACAGTGCCTGCCAAAGAGTAGGTGCTCAATAACTATGTGACAAATAAATCTAGTCATGTATAAAACACATTGTGAATTTCATACACACAAAGTACTAAAACTTAAAGGGTTCTCTCTGGCAAAAGCGTATTTCTAAATTGGTCTAATATTCCTTATTCAAGATAAGAACACTCAAATACCTCACCATAAACCTACTGAATATATGAACACTCCTGGCGCAAGATCTATCTTGACTCCTATGCAAAGGTACACTGGTTACCCAGAGGACCTCAAAATGAAATAGTTCCACCTTTAAATCAATCATAAACATGGGCGTCGAAGACAAAAAAAGATGATACTGTGTGCACTGACTTTCGGAGGTGAGGGCAGAAATGCTAAAACAGTCTAGATCTAAATTTCCTTTCACATGAAATGTGAAAGTAAATTCTCTTTTGTAATGTTCCATAATATTCTTTCTGATTATCTAGATTTTAATGGAAGTGGTTTAAACTGGCTATGAGAGGACAGGTCTAGTTATGGTAAATAATCTCTGCAATTAGATTCATGGCCATTACATTTTCTAGGAAAAAATATTTCCAACAAAAACAAAATTAAATCTAGTAGCTGACCTTATTAATCACATTTCCCAAGTTCCTTTTCAGAGAAAAAACATCAAAACCACCACCACAAAGTTGAAATTATCGATTTACATTTGTATAAACTGCAGGTTTGATCCACATTAGACCTCTCCTCAAATGCCTACTATTAAGTTGCAAAAGCAGTAGCTGGCTTAGCCAATAAGGAGGGCTCAACCACAGGCACGCCACACTCTCTGATGTACCTAAAATGACCACAGTGTCAATGTGTAAAATGTCCTTGCTGCCTTCGTAGCCACAGAATATGTTAAACCTCAACTAATCCTTTAAAATGTATTAATTTATTTTCTAAATTCCACATTTTACAACTTGAGGAAAACATCGTTTTTGGCCATATATGGACTATCACTGCTACCTCAAACTTTCCAGGTTTTCTTTTTTACTGCATTTTAGGTTTTGGGGTACATGTGAAGAACATGCAAGACTGTTGCATAGGTACACACATGGCAGTGTGATTTGCTGCCTTCCTCCCCTTCACCTATATCTGGCATTTCTCCCCATGCTATCTCTCCCCAACTCGCCACCCTCCGCTGTCCCTCTCCTATTTCCCCCGCAACAGACCCCAGTGTGTGATGCTCTCCTCCCTGTGTCCATGTGTTCTCATTGTTCAACACCCACCTATGAGTGAGAACATGCGGTATTTCATTTTCTGTTCTTGTGTCAGTTTGCTGAGAATGATGGTTTCCAGGTTTATCCATGTCGCTACGAAGGACATGAACTCATCGTTTTTGATGGCTGCATAATATTCCATGGTGTATATGTGTCACATTTTCCCTGTCCAGTCTATCGTTGATGGGCATTTGGGTTGGTTCCAGGTCTTTGCTATTGTAAACAGGGCTGCAATGAACATTCGTGTGCATGTGTCCTTATAGTAGAATGATTTATAATCCTTTGGATATATACCCAGTAATGGGATTGCTAGGTCAAATGGAATTTCTATGTCTAGGTCCTTGAGGAATTGCCACACTGTCTTCCACAATGGTTGAACTAATTTACACTCCCACCAACAGTGTAAAAGCATTCCTATTTCTTCACATCCTCTCCAGCATCTGTCTCCAGATTTTTAATGACTGCCATTCTAACTGGCATGAGATGGTATCTCAGTGTAGTTTTGACTTGCATTTCTCCAACGACCAAAGCATTTTTTCATGTTTTTTGGCCTCATGTATGTCTTCTTTTTTAAAGTGTCTGTTCATATCCTTTGCCCACTTTTGAATGGGCTTTTTTTTTCTTGTAAATCTGTTTTAGTTCTTTGTAAATTCTGGATATCAGCCCTTTGTCAGATGGGTAGACTGCAAAAATTTTTTTCCCATTCTGTTGGTTGCCGATTCACTCTAACGACTGCTTCTTTTGCCGTGCAGAAGCTGTGGAGTTTGATTAGGTCCCATTTGTCTATTTTGGCTTTTGTTGCCAATGCTTTTGGTGTCTGGTCATTAAGTCCTTGCCTACTCCTATGTCCTGAATGGCTTTGCCTAGATTTTCTTCTAGGGTTTTTATGGTGTCAGGTCTTATGTTTAAGTCTTTAATCCATCTGGAGTTAACTTTAGGGTAAGGTGTCAGGAAGGGGTCCAGTTTCTGCTTTCTGCACATGGCTAGCCAGTTTTCCCAACACCATATATTAAACAGGGAATCCTTTCCCCATTGCTTATTTTTGTCAGGTTTGTCAAAGATCGGATGGTTGTAGATATATTGTGTTGCCTCTGAGGCCTCTGTTCTATTCCATTGGTCTATATCTCTGTTTTGGTACCAGTACCATGCTGTTTTGATTACTGTAGCCTTGCAGTATAGTTTGAAGTCTGGTAGTGTGATTCCTCCCGCTGTGTTCTTTTTTCTTAGAATTGACTTGGCTATGTGGGCTCTCTTTTGGTTCCACATGAAGTTCAAGGTGTTTTTTTCCAGTTCTGTGAAGAAGGTCATTGGTAGCTTGATGGGGATAGCGCTCAATCTATAAATTGCTTTGGGCAGTATGGCCATTTTCACCATATTGATACTTCCTAACCATGAACATGGAATATTTCTCCATCTGTTTGTGTCCTCTCTTATTTCGCTGAGCAGTGGCTTGTAGTTCTCCTAGAAGAGGTTCTTTACGTTCCTTGTTAGTTGTATTCCTAGGTATTTTATTCTCTTTGTGACAATTGTGAATGGCAGTTCATTCTTGATTTGGCTTTCTTTAAGTCTGTTATTGGTGTATAGGAATGCTTG